GATAATAACGCCTGCGGTCAATCAATGGTCGGGGCAGTGAAGCTGGCAATAATGCTGTCCTGAAGATTGGTGTTGGATCTCTCGATGTGGGTGATTGGATGTGTGGCAGCAAAGTCTCTGGCATCCTTCATGCTGACATATGTGAATGCATGGGAGTGGATACTCCCGCCAATGTCTTTCATATACCATCCTGAGTTGGCTCTCCCTCAGCTCCATCTCAAATTGAATTGCATCCCTTGCTCGCTGCAAGTCTTCGGCTGTGGCTTGACGCAACCAAACGTAGAACTGCTCACCCAGCATGGCGTTATAGTGTTTGAGGGACCAAAAACAACCAAACTACAGCTTGAACCAACTACTTAACAAAGCATGAAAAAGTTGAGAGACAATGCACAACCACACAACAGCTAATTGAAGCGGAAGCATGCTCCACGCATTCTTTTGCATTGCAACTGGGAAGACTTCACGTTCTTCTGACATCCGATGTTTGTGATGTCTGTCAGTCATCATGAATCACCTGTGTGGCCATGGGCTGGGTCTCCATGTTCCTGATGTGTGCAAGCTCTGCCAGGAGTTGTCTCAGCAATGTGGATTGCTGTTCGAGCTTTGTGTCAATGTCTTGCACTTTGGCAGTGACATCTTGCAGGTGGGACTGCATGTGCTTCATCTCGCTGCGAATGTCCACTGTGAGTTGGTGAACATGTCCAAACCGATTGTGCAGTTGATCATTGGAATTGTACTGAAACTGCCTATGCGCATCCAAATCAGTTCTGACTGCCTTCAGCTCACGCTCCGTGTGCTGCATCCAGGACGGTATGGCCATTAGCGGTTGTTTGACATATTCAAAACCATCATCTGCTGCAGCAACTGTTGTCTTGCTGGGATCCATGGCTTGTTGTAGATTAATGTAGACCCTCCAATACTTAAAAGAAAGGAAAAGAAAAGAAAAGAAGGGACCAAAAAGAACCTAACAAAAGATCAACAGGACATCAACTAGTGGCTTGATTGACAAGACACGCAAAAATTGTGTGGTAGCTGCCAACTTGCATGCACAACTGTTTGCACTGCTGAAAACGAAGCAAATATTCTTTTGATGCAACATGATCACGAATGGCCTCATTGGTGAGTCTCCAATAGTCCGCAATTGGAGTAGAGAAACTTGAGCAGTTTCGTCTTGTAAGGCTCCTTGAGTTTGTCGATCAAGTATTTGGATGTGTCGTTAAACGACTTCTCTGACAGGGCGTTGGTGATGATGTTCTTCCACTTTGTCTGTTCACTGGTGGTGAGGTATCCATTGTAATCCAAATGTTGTTGAAGCATCAACTCCGACCCTACCTACCTCAAGTAATCTCCTTTGCGCCGTGTCATCTTGTAGAATTTCTGCCACGACACCATTGTTGAATCTGCAGGGGTGGCCGGAGCTGGACGAGGCTGCTTCCGTGTTGGTGGAAATCTCACCTGTCCTGTCGACTCCACGAGAAACCACCTTTTTCATGGCGGTCCTAACTGTTACAATTTGAACCTTTGAGCCGGCTAAAGGAAGTCAGTGAAAGCCATGGAACGCAATCTACTTGAAACTGGAAGGCACAACGTTGTCACTCTATTTTCAATTGCGAGGTACATCGAATCCTAACCAACTGTACAACGCTTTAAGATCTTGAATCTGCTGGCACTTAGTGGACCACGGAAATACAAACTTGCTGATGAGCTGTCGTCTTGATCTGTAGCCTGAGAGGTTGAGCTGATGGCTGCCTGCGGAACAATTTAATCGATATCGCCACTTTTCTGTTTTCATCATGTACATGACTTCTCGACACAGGGTTGATGCGGAATCCAAGAAATTCATTGTGTTCTTCATCTTCCAGCTGAATGGGTTTTGGATAAAAATCAAGACTCACCAACTCGCGAAGCCCAGAGCATTGTAACAGGTCTTCATGGATAAAGATTGCACGATTGTCCACATAACGCAGGACAAGAACTTTGGAAGAAAGTTTGGAAAGAAGCGTTGTGTGAGTGTGTAACCAAGCTCTCTCAAACGCCACAATGGAGAGGGACGACAATACGGGGCTGACCTGATTTCCCATAGAGGTGCCTTGGACTTGTCTATAACATTTTCCAAGAGTCGTGAAGCATCCAGAAGAAAAGGAAAACTGAATGATGTCCATCAGCTGTTTCATGGTGATTTCAACCTGATTGGCTTTGACACTGAACCTGGACCTTCCAGAATGAACAGGGCCAACTTTTGCATGTAGGTCAACCATGAGTGTCTTAGCGCTTCCGGAAGAAAGAAAGTCTTGAATCAAAGAATGAAGCGCAGACATAATAGTTGTTTGGGGATGGAATTGAAAAACCCAACCAGGTCATGGTTCAAAAACACAAGGTTGTCATCCAAAGCAGTTGTCTCGAAGAATCGATGAATGTCTTTCCAAATGGTTGGTGTTAACCGGTTTCCAAAATGTGAAGGCCAGGTAGAATTTAGCAACTCTTGTATTGCCAATGCTGCAAGTTTGAGAAGCTTTCCAATACATGTGGAGCCATACGCCACAATTGTTCTGCCCTTGGTCCAGTGTTTTTTGCGCTTCATCATGATGTAACCATACGGAAGATCCTTGTTGAAATCCACCAGCTGCTGTTGTTGTTTGGAAAGAGATTTTGGTAAATTCTTATTCATTTGAAACTTTAGTTGTTGCGGGCTGTCGCTGAGTTCTGTGAATACACCGGGATCCGCCCACGAATTGACTGCTGCTTGATTGTACACCTGAGAGCAGTACATCATGATGAGGTTGTTGGCGTGCTCCTCATTGTGTACCACGAAATCTGTTGGGATAAAGGATTTTAAGTACTTGATTCCACCCACCGTGTATCGAGGACTGCGCTGCTATGATTGTGAATGGTGTTGCCATTGCTCCTCCAGAAATTGTCGAAATCTTTCTTTCGTACCCAAATATACTGGCAATTGATGATGCTGCATCCACTGAGTCATTGTCTGCATGGATTTCTCAATGAACTTGGTCTTGTTGTCATAGTACGCATTGGCTCCACCCATGTCTTGAAAATGCTGCATGCTTGATGGCAACGTCAAAGTCTCCAATCCTGTGACCACATGACCATCCATGTTGTCCGCCTTGGAATGTTTCTTCAGGAAGTTATTGCAAGAACACGCACTGGCTGGTGGTGGCAAATCCTTGACGTCACTCCAAAGCAACTTTATCACCTTGGTTGGTGGAGCCTCCAATGGTCTCGTAGTTGGTAAATGATATGGTATCAGTACTGGTTGAGCGCGTCGAACTTCTTGACGCAAGAACTGTTGTAGTTGCGCGCGCAATCCTTCATGAGCAAGAAACGGAATCTTGAGGGGGCAGTTTTTCTTTGGAATGGACTGATTCCTGAATTGAAGAATCAATTTTAGCCTTGTTGTGCACTTGGACCTCCAGGGTTGTTCCAAATGACTTGCAAGCCTGTAAAGAACCAATCCAATCTCTGATGGATATTTGCCACTGCGGAGAAGTTTGCTGGTCTCAAACTCCTTGAGTGTATCCGATGACAAATCATACAGCAGCTCCCACATCTGCGGAAGTTATGGTAGCAGTCGTACTTCTTGAGAACGTTGTTGATGTAGGCGACGACGCATCTTCTTGAATAGCTTGATTCCAAGTGTATCATTGCCTGGCTGAATCGACGGTCGGTGTTTGGCTGGCACAAGGCCGTGTGCCTTCTTTACCAGGAACTTGGTGATGAATGGGTGATTCAGACGAGCCTGCCAGGACTGAATAGTCGAGTGTTCGGCGGCCCATGCATCACGGTACCCACTGTAACCACTGAGTGCCAGAGTAATGAATCGATCATAGTTTGCATTGTCCACCGGTCACCCAATACCTGATGGCCAACTCCACTTTTGGCAATGATCCTCTGAACGGAGATTATGCTTGGGCTAATCGCTCAGCAGATCATTTTCCAGGCTTGAGCCAACAACGATGTTAAGT